CACGGCTTTATTCACAATAGCAAAGAGTTGGAAACAATCTAAGTGCCCATTAACAAACGAATGGATAGGGAAGCACTAGTATATTCACACAATGGAATACTATGCTGCATTGAAAAACAAAAAACTCATGAAATAATATACAAAATGGGTGATCCTGGAGAACATTATGCTGAGTGAAATGTCTCAGTCACAAAAGGACAAATATTGCACAGGGCCACTGTTGTAAAACGGGGCTGACATCAGGTTTGGGGGAAGACTGAGAAAGATGGGATAAGTTATGTTTACTGTATTGAAACAGATGAGGGAGCAAACTGTTTAAAAGGGATATATGATTAGGTATTATTATCATGACAGGAGTGCAGAATAAAGGCTATATAGTGGAGTGGACTTGCGGGGAAGAATTGTATGACAATAAAAGAATGTTACTTTTCAAAACGAAGGCTGCATAGTGGAGTGGACTTGGGGGGAGGGATTGTATAACAATGAAAGAATTTTTCTTTTACTTTTCAAGAGTGAATTGGGGGGTAGGTTGGGCAGGGAGAAAAGTGCAACAATGAATGAATGGAAATCCAAAGTCTCTGTAAACTTTCATTAAAATTAATTTTAAAAAAGTAAATAAAAAAAAAGACTTCAGGGGGCAAAAAGTAACTTAATTTTTTTATGGTAATTATCTAAGTTGCTGTAATGAATCAGAATGCTGCATATGGCCTCCTTTATATCCTGAAAAACTAACACATGGAATTAAGGTCAGCTGTGAAAAATAATTCATGATCATACTCCTTTTTCATGTTATCACCAGTCTCTATAAGGTCCTACAAGATTCTTCATCCAATCCTAGACTACCATTTCTCTGACTTCATCTATTGGCCTTCTCACCTTTACTTACTTTACTTCACCCACAGTGACCTAGTTATTCCTTGAATACTCCAAATGAAGTTGCACTGTAGAGGTTTTGTATCTATTATTCTTCTCTCCACCTAATACTCTTTCCGCCAGGATCTACAAAGCTACTCTTATACCTCCTTTAGGTCTCTGCTCAAATTAATCTAATCAGTAAGACTTCTCTGACGTTTAAATAAAATAGAAAGTTCAGACTTTCTTCTTGTTCATCCCTCTCTCATCTCATTTTATTTTTCTTCTTCCCCAACTCCTTTCTTTTTGTACTGAAATAAATCCTAATTCATCTTCTCCATAAGACTAACTGAAATCATATCTATTTTAAGTTTACAAGTGCTTGTTGTTGGTTGCCCTCATCTCCCATTAGAATGTAAGCTCCATGAGGGTAGGAATTGCTGTGTGGACTGCTGTCTCGTTCCTGCTTAGTACCTGACACATGCTAGACTCTCAATGTGTTGAATAAATCCATGAAGTCATTTCCAAAAATAACTAGTTGATTTTTCTATAGTCACAGTGTTCTTTGACATCTCTTTGAGAATATTAATAACTCTTATATATCTTTATCTACTGCTTAATTGTTAAACTATTAATTCTTTTATTTGTAGTTTAATAATTTTTATGTACTTGCTGTTGCTATTGTTGTTGCTTTTATGTACTATCAAGTCAGAAAGAATTGACTCATAGCTGACTCTCCAGTGGGTTTTCAAAGGCTGTATATTGTGCTTAAAGAGATGGTTCCTCTTTCTCCTGCAGAGACAGCTGGTGGGATTACAACTATGTGCCTTTGGGTTAGCAGCACAATTCCCTACCAATAAGCCACCAGAGTACTAGTTTTCATCAAATACTTGAAGAAATTGGATTCTATGTTTAACTATGTATACTCCACATATCATCTGGAAATACTATCTGTTTATTGTTGTTATGTGCAAACAAGTCAGGATTGACTCATAGCTGACGTTCCAGCAGGATTTCAGAGGCTGTAAACTGCACGGGAGGAGACTGCCCACCTTTTCTCCTGCAGAGTAAGTAGCTGGTGGATTTGAACCACATGTCTCTGAGTGAGGAGCACTGCTCCTTAGCCTAGGCCAGAACTCAGCATCTGTTTATCCCAGTGTATATCCAGTGATTATAGTCAAGAGGAAACTCATGCTGCCAGGAAGTCAATCAGTAGATAAGTCTTCTAGGTAAGAAAGTTTCTTCTTCCTCCATAGTACTGCCAACAATGTCAGGCACTCTTCTGTTGACAGTCAATAAAACCCCCAAACGCGTTGCTGTTGAGTCAGAACCAATTCACAGCTGATCCTCTAATGCATTTTTAAGAGGCTGTGAATTTTATGGGAGAAGACAGTCCATCTTTCTCCTAAAGAGCCACTGGTAGAACTGAACCTCTAAAGAGGTGCCACTTTTGGCTTACAAGTCACTTTGGACAACACTCATAAATACTGTTACTAATGGAGGCAGACACCCCTATTGCCACTACTGTGCATAAGTAGTACAGATGTTGGAAAGGAAAAAAAAATTCTGTCAACAGCTGCCCCAAGTCATCTCTCCACTGCCTGTATTCACTGCTTCTGAACTTAAAGCAACAGTGAAACTTCTGTACCAATCTTGTCATCAGAATATCTGTAACTGATGCTTTTCTCTTCTTTTCTAATCACACCTATCATCTATCTTTCATGTACACTTCATAACTGTAGGTTCATTAACATAGTCCTTTTGTCTTTCATTTATCATGACTAATGATGAATAAGGACTAGTGTACCAAAATGCAAATATGAGCCTTAGAATTTACCACCACTGGGTTCTAATCCTGGCTACTTCACTTTTTAGATTTGAGGGTTCTCAATGAAGTTACTTAGTAATCCTTGAAATTGATCTATCATATCTATCTAAATCTTAAGTTCAAAATTACTAGTAAATTGCTCCGGACATAGTAAGTACTCAATGAAAGCTAATTTCCTTCCCTCTTACCTAAATAAAGTCAGTAACCTCACACTAAAACTAAATATCAGGTTCTATGATTCTAAGTCAATATTTAATTTTTCAACTAATCCCTTTCTATTAAAAATTCTCAACACTGACATTCAACATGTGTGCATAGATGTCTTGAATTACATGACAAGAATATACTCTTCTTTAGTAATGACCTCCAATATACTTATAAAAATTCTGAGTTCATAAAACAATTGCTTGTTATAAAGAGCTATTTTATTTAAGTAACACTTTTAGGTAAGTGCTTTTATTAGGTAACATTAAACCTAAAAACCATACCAGCAGTATCCCCTTGAGTGATGCTTATCACAATATGAAGCCCAATGAAATAAGACAGATGTTACAGGAGGAAACAAGACATTATGGACATATTGTTGTTCCTGCTGTTTAGCAGATTTTTTCCTTTGTAGAACCTATAATGTTGTAACAGTATTCTTCACTACATCAGTCTTTTATTTAAAAAATCAAAGATAGAGAAATAACAATATGAAGACCATTATTAAAATTAGTAAAGAAAAATGAGTTCTATTTATTTCCTAATCTGACCTCATATTTAAATTTTTTTCATATTTTAATTTGATAATGGAAAAAATACCATTTTTATCAATATTAAGCTGATACGATATACAGGTCCTGTAAGTATTTAGATAGTTAATAACAGGCAAACAGCTAGATTTGGAAAATTTGCTAAGAACTTTAACTTAACTATTCAGGTTTCACTATATTGTTTTCCTTTGAAAAATATAAATTATTTCTCAACCAATAAAAACATTTAATTGCCTTCGAGTTAATACCAATTCATGCCTGACCCTTCAGTGGCTTTTCAGAGGCCTGTATATTGCACAGAAGAACAACGTTCATCCTTCTTCCTCAGAGAAGCTAGTGGATTCAAACCACCAGAGAGTCGCCACTAGACAGTGTCAAAAGAACAGATTAGAAGTGATATATGACTGAGTATTATGGTTAGCACAGGAATCCAGAATTAAGGTTGCATAGAGAAGTGTACTTGGGGTTGGGGGTGGGGGGAAGGGACGTGGGAATTGTGTACTGATGAAGGAATTTTTTTTCTTTTTTCTCTCTTCAGAGGGGGAAGTGAGCTGGTGGGGAGGGGTGGGAAGGGAGAAAATTGCAGCAATGAATGAATGGAAATCCAAAACCTCTGTAAAAAAAAAAAAAAAAGGACATTGCCTATTGATTTTCATCAGAAAGATAGTGGCACAAAATTTACTGATATTGTTGCCTGCCAATGAGTTGAAACTAACCCAGAGCTGACCCACTAGAGGATTTCCAGAGGAAGTTAATCACTTGGGAGGAGACTGCAGTACCTGGTGGCCTTGAGTCGTGTTCCTTCTGGATTGCAGCACAGCTTCTTGCCACTAGGCCACCAAAGGTTTCTTATTTATCAATACCCAGCCCTAATTTCCAAAACTAATTTTGACTACAGAACTCTTGTCATCAAATATCATTTATTATTTGTGAAGTATGATAAAATTTAAAAAACCCTATTCCTGTAATCCTAGTACTGAGGAAAAGTAAAGAATTCCACCAAAAAAGTCTATATAAAAAAAGGGAGGTTTTTGTTTCTATTTTTTAAAATTAATTTTCAGGTCATCACTTTTAATGTATTTTAATTCAATTCTAAATCCTAGTCATTTTTTTTATATTGTTTTGGATATAAAATTTGTATACATTGTGCTTCATTCATGTACACTTTGTTTCATTCCTTCATTCACACTGTGTTTTATAGAGCATTCATACATACTGTACTGTCTACGCCTACCATTATACTATCTTTTCAGATCTTCATTAACCTTCTCTAATTCCTTCACACAACCTCCACGCTGCAAGAAAGTTATCCTAGTGCTAATCGGTATTTTTAAATATTATAATAAAAACATAAGCTTGGAAGCAGGAGTAGCATCCACATCCGTAAACAGCTTGACTCCAGAAACCCTATGAACCTGGAGAAAGGATGAAAGTAGGGTTCCTATGAGTCGCCTATGACTTGACAGCAGTTAACAACAACAATTCCTTCACACACCTCCACACTGCAGGAAAGTTACCCTAGTGTTAATCACTATTTTTAAATATTACAATAAAAAATAACTTACTTTCTGATCACTATTGCCCAGTCTTCAGTGTAACTTCTTATGCAATCTCTAACATGTGGATCCATTTCACTATTTTAAAAAAGAGAGTAATACACTTGTCATTTACAAAGAACAGCACTGGCGTAGTTTTGATTGTTGAAGTTCTTATTATAGTAGGAAACACCACCACCACAAAAAACAGAAATTCAACAAAATAACAGAAAGTATCCTTTTTATACTAAAATAAAAATACATAAATAATTTCCCTTTACCTTTCTTCTGGTACAGCTGAAACAAGGGTTCTGCAATCCCTTGGACTATAAACAACCTCAACATCATCTGGAGGAAATTCAACCAAATCTCTTAAAGGCCCAGAATCCACAGCTAAAGGATGAGTAATGAGGTAATCTTCCAAGTCCACTGGCTCTACTGCTTCTGTAAGGGGCACCTTCAAACAGGAGATGAAAAAGGGGAATGAGAGATGGACAGAAAGAAAGAAAGGGATATAAGAATATCTAAACTTTGAGCAGTGAAAAGGTACCATTTTTCAAAAGACTGTATGTTTTCTTTAACCTAAATTTTATCTTTAAAATTTCAACAGATTGCCAATCACATGCAATAAAGAAACTTTAAGGCATTAGTCTTCTCATCACTTATGTTTTTGGTTCTATTATCTTTAACATTTAGACCTTGTTCATGCTTCTAAAATAAAAATAATCATTTACCAGTTTTTATAATACATTAAAGTTTGAAAAAAGTCTTACTGGAAGATTTTCCTTTTTAAGTGTTTTTGGTATGTTCCCTGCTAAATTTCTAAACCACGTTGTTATTTTATTTACAGTTATTTTGATTATTCTGTGAAACACAAGAATAGGCTGAAAAACTCTCTCCAAAAGATAACCACATCCTAATTAATGGGTCCTGTGAAAGCTATACTATATATCATGGTTGAAAAGGGGAGATTCTTACATATATCACTAAAGATCCCCAAAATGAATTATTTTGTTATGCCTGAAATAAAATCATATGCATCTTTTAAAAAAGGCAGAAGGAGATTTGTACTATGCCTAAAAGGAAAAGGCCATTGAAAATAGACTTAAAACACTGGCTTATGAAATAGGAGTAATGTAGCCAAGGCTGGCAGACAGCAGCAAGATATAAACTCCCCTTTAAAAACTCCAAAAAGAGTATAATCAATCCCACTACACCTTGATTTCGAGCACTGCAAATAAAGTAAAAAATTCTGACCTCCAGAGCTGTGAAAGAATAAATCTCTCTTGCTTTAAGTCACTCTTAGTTGGTGATAACATGCAATGGTAGCCACAAGTTACTATTACAGAATTGTGGAATTAAGAGTTTATTCAAAATGGCTTCCCTAGCCATTGCCAGACTTTGACATGTGGACAGACAAGAATATGTGAATAGGGCACGTCTGGGTTTCACCTTCTGCCCCCAAAATTCAGGGTCAGCTTTGCACATGGCAGGATCTAAGACTGCCTTCTAATCTTCCTAATCAGGTAACGCCCATTCTCCCCTAATTCCACCGGCATCATTAATAATCAGGCATCCAAAGCAAGACATTCAGTCCAAGGCCTGCATACCAGTTTTAAAAGAGACATAACCCTCACCATGGGCATTATTGTATTGTGACAGTAGTGTGGTGCAAAAGGAAGAGCAGAGACACTAAGTCACAAAACGAAATTTATGGAGCAGAAGCTCAGGAGCACGAACGTTTCTCCAATATTGCCTCAGACAAAAATCTTGCCCTGAACCTGGTACATGGGATTTGGACTTAGTTCCTCCTAAACATGAGACAGGCATCAGAATGAGACCAGCAGCATTGTCAGGCACAAGACATCGCAGAAGTGACTTGTGACCTAAGCCATCATATCAAGGAGTGGCTGGGGGGAAGGAGGTGCTGGATGGGGTAGGCAGGAGTGCAAAAGATGCTGATATATCAGGGAAAGGAAAGGGACAAGACACACACGTCAGGGTGAGGGGACACCGAATATAATGGTTATTTCTGTAAGGGGAAAAGTCTTCTTTCATCAACTCTTTTCAGTAAAATGCTTGTCTAACTGGTATTGTTCTAAAATTAAGCATAAAAATTAAGATAGACTAGGAAGGATTAGCCATCCACTTCAAAAATATTACAGGCATTAGAAAACCCTCTGTTCCATAGAACACTCTCAGAATAGGCTAAAAGATATGGCAACTGAGGCTGAGCCCTCAAATTTGGAAACACAAAGGAGGAGGAACAGTTGTAAGCAGAAACTAATGACTGGAGCATGGAACGTAAGAAGGAAGCATGAATGTAGAAAAACTGGATATCATTAAGAAATAAATGAAACATCTAAATACTGAAACATATTCGGTACTGATGAGTTGGCATGGGACATTTTGAATCAGAGGATCATATGATCCACTATGCCAGGGATGAAAAGGTGAGAAAAAACAGGATCACTTTCATAGTTTAAAAGTCATTTCTAGACCCATCTTGAAATACAGTATTGTAAGAGACAGGATAATATCCATATGCATACAAGGAAGATCTATTACCACCACTATCATTCAAATTTATGCACCAAAAACCAGAGCCAAAGAGGAGGAAATAGAAGATTTCAACCAACTTTTTTTAAATAATTTTAATGAGCATTTACAGAGATTTTGGATTTCCATTCATTCATTGCTGCACTTCTCTCCCCGCCCATCTGTCCCCACCCACCAACTTTTGCAGTCAGAAGTTGATCAAGCATGCAACCAAGATGCAATAATAATGGGTGACTGGAATGCAAAAGTTGGGAACCAGGAAGAAGAATCAGTAATTGGAAAACATGAACTTGGTGACAGAAATAAGGCTGGGGATAGAATTATGTACAATCAATTATTTATTCATTGCAAATACCTTTTATGAATTTCACCTGATGGTATGCACATGTGTGTAAGGAATGGCTGGAGTTCATCATCAGCAGTAAAAACAAGGCCAGGTGCTGATTGTGGAACAAACAGACCATCAACTGCTCATTAAGTTCAAATTAAAGCTAAAAAAGGTGAAGTCATATCCACAGGAATAAAAATTTCATCTTAAGTCTATTCCCCCTGAATTTAAAAAGCAAATCACAAACAGGTTTGAGGCATTGAACACCAATGAATGAAGACCAGATGAGCAATAGGAAGATATCAAGAATACCATCCACAAAGAATGCAAAAAGTCATTACAAATACGAAGGAAGAAAAAGAAACCAAAATAGATGTCAGAAGAGACTGAATATTGCTGTAGAGCACCAGAAGCCAAAGTTTAAAAAAAATAAAGGAGCTGAATAGAAGATTTCAAAAGGAAGCTCAGGAAGACAAAGCAAAGTATTATAATGAAATGTGCAAGGAGCTGGAATCAGAAAATTTAAAGGGCCAAACTCGCTTGGCATTACTTAAGCTGAAGAAACTAAAGAATAAATTGATCCCATGAGTTGCAATACTTGAGGATGCCATGGGAAGAATATTGAATGATTGTAAGAAGATAAAACGAGTATACAGAGTCACTGTACCTAAAGGAATTGGCTGACACAGCAGAATTTCAAGAAATTTTCATGATTAAAAGTCAATGGTGATGAAGGAGGAAGTGCAGGCTGCTCTTGAAGGACTTAGAGGTGGGGGAAGCCCCAAGAATTGATGGAATACCAACTGACATATTTCAACAGACGCTTCCCTGGACATGCTCACCAGCTTGTACCAAGAAATCTGGAGAACAACTGCCTGGCCAACTGACTGGAAGAGATCCATATTTATTCCCATTCCAAAAAAAGGTGGCCCAACAGAGTGTGGAAATTATCATACAATATCACTAATATCACATGCAAACAAAATTCTGCTGAAGATTATAAAAAGCAGGAATAATAAATTGACAGAGAACTACCAGAAATACAAACTGGGTTTAGAAGAGGTCATGGCAGTAGACATTATTGCCAACATCAGATGGATCTTGGCACAAAGCAAAGAATATCAGAAGAATATCTATCTGTGTTTCACTGACTATACAAAGGCTTTTAACTGTGTGGATCAAAACCAATTGTGAATAACCTTGTGGAGAATGGGAATCCCATAACACTAGACTGTTCTCATATGAAACCTATACATGGACCAGGAAGCAGTCCTCAGAACAAAGCAAGAAAACACTATGATTCAAAATCAGGCAAGGAGTGTGTCAGGGATGCATCCTGTCTCCACAACTTTTCAATCTATACGTAGAACAGATCATTCAGGAGGCTGGGGTTTCTGAAGAAGAATGTGGCATCAGGATTGGAGGAAGGTCATCAACCTGCATTAGGCAGATGACACACCCTTGCTTGCTGAAACTGAAAAAGATCTGAAGTGCTTGCTGCAGAAGGTCAAGGACCGTAGACTTCAATATGGATTGAAGCTCAACACCAGGAAGACAAAGATTCTCACCAATGGGCCAACTAGCAGCATCATGTTAGATGGAGAAGAGATTAAGGTTGTTAATTTAGCTCGCTCATCTCCACAAACAACACTCTTTGACACCAGCAGTCAGGAAATCAAAAGACAAATGGCACTGGGGAAATATGCTGTCTGGGATCTCTGCAGAGTACTGGAAAGCAACAACGTCAATCTAGAGATTAAGGTACACCTGATCCAGACCATGGTTTTTGCAATTACTTTCAAAGAATCAGAGAGCTGGACAACTGGGGATGACAAAAGAAGATCTATGCCTTTGAGTTATGGTGCTAGAGAAGTCTTGAAAAATACCATGGGCCACCAACAAAACAAATAGGTCTGTCTTGAAGGGAGCGTAAGCAAGCTTCTCCTTGGAATCTAGAATTTTGAAGCTTCATCTCACACACTTTGGGCACATAGCCTAGATGCACCAGTCCTTGAGAAGGACATCATACTTGGAAGACTGGAGGGACAGTACACATGAGGACGAATCTGGATGAGATGTACTGATATTGTAACTAGGGCAATGGTGGTTGCTGTGCTGGACTCAGTGAGACTGACTCAGGACAGGGCAGGTTTCAGAGCTGCTGTACAGAGGATAGCTAGCTATGAGTCACAGGTGACTTGATAGCACATTAACAACAACAGCCAATCCACAAGGGGACTGGCTAGTCTGACCAATCCACAAGATGGCCTGCCATTAAACTGAGTGGATCCAGTAACAGAAGGATGATTTTCCCTATTAGGAAAAGAGCAAGCAAGAGCAAATAGTATGCTCTTCATAGCCAGAGATATCTGCACCAGACAGACTAGGAGGACCTGCGGAAGCAGCAGCTTTAACAGCCACAGCAGAGAACAAGTGATCTTACATGGGACAGAGAGTCAGAGACCTGACATGAGATGGGACTTAGCAACTAGCTGCATCATTGGAACTGGAAGTAACAGCCTTTGCCCAAGTTTCTTGAATAATTGGGAGAGGCGGACCACAATTTGCAG